AGTTTCCAGTGTTACTGAGCTGTCTAGCTGACCTTTTCATCTTTTTTTCCTCTTCTTTAAGCAGTGGAGGATGTTTTCCATTCATGCACAGTCACTGGCTGAAGAAGTCCTACACTCTTCAGTCATCACAAGGTAGAAGCAGAAAGCAATAACGCAACCTCCTTACCTGTTGCGCATGTCAGGACACAGCTGTGTGTAGAGAGGTGTAATTTTTTTGTGACTCCTAGTGCCTTAGTCGTAATGAAAGTACCTCTGGTAAACAAAATATTTTGTTCCATTAGTTGGAAATAGGAGCTCCTCTTAAAATACTGGGTATTTTATGAAATACCATGTATTTTAGAATACTATGTGTTTTAATGTGATAACATTAAGATATCATGTAGCAACATTCTCACTGTTGAGTGTTCTGCTGGAAGATTATAAACTCATGATTGGCATTGAACCTCTTATGTGGAAGCTGTGCTTGTCTGGTAATGATGCCCAGTATCTGACAAAAGGAACCACAACAGAGGCAACTTTTCCTTACCTACTTAGACTGAGGACTTGGCAGATCTCCTGTACTAAACAAGGCAAATCTAATCTGTACTTTAATGGCAAATCTCCAATGAAAAGTTGAGGAAATGCCATTGCTAATTCACTGCAAGGCACTCTTTCTAATAAGGCTGCTTGGACTTGTGACCCCAGCCTGTTTTCAGGCGCTCTTTAGCAGTGAGAGGTGGTTTCTTTCAAGCGTGGCACCTAGCAGACCAAAGGGAGGTACTCTAACCATCTTCTTCATAATGTTGTCGATTTGTAACATGGGATCATTAAGATTGGAAGTAGTGTTATGTTCTGTGCACACATGTCTGAATCAATGTGTGAGACTCAGCTGATTCTGTCCATGTACAAATGTGATTACTCGTCAGGTCTGTCCATGCACAAATGTGATTACTCATCAGAGAGTCACACATCTGTTCCACTCCATACCTCCTTTATCTACCTGTGTATTCTCTCCAAATCACACTCAGGCTTAACTGTTCCCTCAGACACCTATTTGCAGCTTTCTGAATATATTGAACCATTTCAAAGCATAGCAGAATGGAGCGTAAGTATGTCTTTCAGGTTGGTGAAGGAGACTTTGGGGAGAAGTTAAAACGTTCTTTAGACGTGACACTGGAATAGAGTGGTATCAACGTTCAGGGCTTCAAGTTGAATGTCTGTAGGATTGAGGACTGATGAAAACATGGGGGCTTGTCTGAATGGCGCTATTCACTGCCAAAGTATTTGTGACCAAAGTTTTACTCTGGGAAAAATAAAAGGAATCTTAGCACTTTCCAGTAGGGGCGTGTGATTGAGATTTTGAAGATAGATGTACGTATTCAGAAGAGTTTTCTAAATCCGAGTGCCTTAACTTCTTTCTTTGGAACTGGAGCTGAGTAAGGGCCAGCTTTTTTCCTTTTGTTAGCAACCTGTAGCTTGTTTGAGCCAGTGAGAGTCTGAAGCACTCTGCACACCTGCAGAGTGAGGATCAAACTGTGTTATGGTAGGTGCACAAAGAGGAATATTAGTTGTTTGATAAAAGGAGTACCTATACCCAATGGAAGAATTTTGCGGTAAGTGAAGCTGCATAAGTGTGACGGGGAATTTGATGTCAAATTTAGTGCTCAGCTAACAGCCTCTTGGCTTGTACTTATGGGAGAACCGAATTCTGCATTGGCTCTGCAGGCTTGCAGAAATGAATGATTTTCAATTAATTCCAAAATAAGCATTCTGTACATGCATATGGCTTCATCTCAGAGGAAATGTGCCTATTCGAGATAGTGTTTAAACATGTATTTAAGCAAATGTTTAACTATCAGTGAGGTCATGGAACTAAGAATACACTTAATTCCCACCCTCAGAGCAAGACAGAGAAGAACATCGTCCCGGTTGCGGCAGGGATGGGGTTAATCTCCCCAGGGATGCGGCAGGGGGCGGCATTCCATCCCACATGACCCATCGGGGCTATGAGAGGCACAAGCCGGGGCGAGGGGAGCAGTCGCCACTCGGGGGTGGGCTGCGGCGGTGCGGGACCGGTTCCGGTCGGTGCGCTTCGAGGCGGTACTGTAATTGTGTCTTTGTGTCCCTTTACCGGTGTTACTGTTTTGTTTTCATCTTCCCTTTTGCCGCTCTGTTAAATTGCACTATTTTAACCCACGAGTTTTGCCCTGTCAATTTTCTTTCCCCACGGCTGTGGGAGTGGAGCGAGCGGCCGCCTGGTTCTTTGTTGCCGGCTGAGGCTGAACCACGACAAACATTTATTTGTGGTTTTAAACTGACTTTTTAAACAGTATAACAGGGTGTCTAGGATATTGTTAGTATTGAATATTTATTAAAGGACACATCAGAAATTGAAATCTAAGTTCAGAGGTGTAGCTTAAGTTAAACATAAAGGGTAAAGAATTACAGTCCTTCAGTGAACAGTGCTGTGGAGTTCCTGGTTAAAGAGGAGGCCAAAAAAGGCCAAAAGACACATAAAAAAAAAAATATGCAGTTGCATTATTCTTGTTGTTTGTTTTTATTTTTTTAAACCTTTAAAGTTAGTTTCCTTTGAAGGAGAACAATATGAAATATAGTATGTTTAGGTCTTTTTTTCATTTAAAAAAGATCCTTAAGCACGGTAGCTTTTCTTTAAAATGTGGTGTATAAATAATAAAATACGTGATGGCACAGTACAAAGATTATTTTGGCACAGGTCTGGGATGACTGCATTGCTAACAGAGCATTTGACACTTGTGAATAATGTGATCGTTGCAAAAGTGTGCCAATGAAAACTTCATACCCCACCAGTACGTGTGTGTGTATAAGTTTGTTAGTGTGTTCTGTTTCAGCACATTTTTCTAGTACCAGATCGAGGAAAAGCTTCAGAGTTGTGCCATATTGTTGATGTACCTTATGCCTGGTTGCCAGAAGAGCCTCAATGGACAAGTGAGGACTGTAGGTTTTGTGACACAATGAAAATGAAGTGAAAACAATGTTAAGAAGGAGAGGTCTCGCATCCTGTTCCTTATCGCTCCTGACTCTTGGCTTCCTGCTCCTTTCTTTTGCCTTGAACCAGTTTTGATGTTCATCCTATCACAAGGATGAACTTACTCACTAAAATAGAAGCTAAGTACACTGGTAAGAAGAAAGGAGAAAGTGACTTTTTTCTTCTTTGTTATTAAATTGAATCTTATCTTGTAATCTGATGAACAGGACAACCAGAGGTGGCTGCAAGGGGTTGTGTGTGCCGGGCCCTTTCCTGTCTGCTTTTGGGTGCTTATAGGTACATGCAGCCGCTTTGGGGGAAACAGCAGAGGGTTGTGATATGTTTCTTGCCTGTCTGCTGTTGGCAGTATTGAAAGGTGTACATTAAGAACCTTAGGCTAGGTGTAAGACCAAACAAGGCTGTTACCTGCCCTGTCTGGATTCACTGTGGTGGTCGTAAATGTCCAGTCCCAAAAGGGTGCAACCTGTGGTTAAGCTGGGTAGGGTGGTGATAGCCAGCTGAAGTTTGTCCAGAGCTTGGAGTCAGTAGCACAAGAGCATGAGGGACATCACTATGGGTCTCTGAAGGTCTTGAACTCCTGTTGAGTAGATGAAGAATTGACTTGCAGACTTTTCAATTTAGCCTGGTTGATACAGTCTGTAAAGCTCTCGGGCACCGCTGTGCCTGTTTACAAGCGTAGAGATGGGTGGACTGATGAAAGCAGGGAGGAAACGTTGTGGTCTTGGTAAAGGTTGCAGACTCTACCACATTCTTGGCAGCTCATGTCACGCTGCCTGAAGAAGGCGCAATGCCCCACAGCACCACCGCTGCCATTACGACTCTGTGATCTGATACAGCTTCTGTGGGATCTTGAAAGAGAAAAAGAAAATGGAGAGAGTGTCATTATGATGCTACTGAAAGTGTTAGAAAGGAGGAGGAAGCCATGATCAGAGGGAGGGAGGAGCAGTGGAGGGAAGAGTGGAGAAATTCTTCTTCCTTTTAGCAATGGCAAGCTGTTAATTTATTCCAGTAGCATCATGAAACCGCATCCACAGAGTACCGTGTAGGATTCCTTTCTCCCTCCCTCCTGTGTCAAGTACAGCTGAAGACAGGCCATTAATTTCAAAGAGAATTTGTTTAGAGTGGAGTCTGTTCTCAGTGCAAGTAGAAGGATCATTTTCATTCTCTAAAAAAAAGAAAAAGTAATTTCTGAAGTTTTTGCCAGTCTGCTAAGTGGAGACCAATTGTAATTGCGTAAAGTGCAGCTCGTGAGAGACACAAAGCATTAGGAGATGACCTTGTTTATGCCTATGTTCTTCTCCCTATGTTGTTTGCAGTGTTTGCCTTAATGCTTTCTGTTACTAGAAAAAAGTATGTGTTCGGAGGTGCCAGAAACTGTTCATCTCTTGCAAACAAGACCATTGCTGATGCTGTCAGATGAGAGCACTGTGTGGGTACTACAGTCTGTTGTTTTATCAGAATCTTGTGAACCTGAAAAACACTGAAAAATCCTCATGTAGAGATAGCCCTGAGAAATTCAGTACTCTTGTGCTTCAGATCAGTGGGGATGTGTCCCTACAGCACCTTTCTCCATGGCACTGTGTTTCAGCCAAAGGAAGAAAGTATATAAGTTATGTGGAAATTTCCAGGAAAATAGATGTCCTATTTGCTTATGAAAAAAATGATGTTTTTTGTAAGAAGCATCCAATTGTTCATTGAAGAATGAAGCTCTTCAGAACAGGAGTTTCATTTTATGTGGCTGTATATATCAACATACAGTTGTTTAGTATTTCATCTTTTTAACAATATTCCTTTTCCTGCACTTCTTGCAATTATCTCTTTCAGTTTCTGCAGGTAGTTCAGAGTTTTCTGAGTGTTGAATTTGCTGAAGGTCAGAACAGAGAGTTGCCTGGATGCTGTGTCTAGCGGATTCCAGTCCTTGCCTGGGCTGCTCTCTGCGTTCCAGTAGCCATAAAAATTAATTTCCCTTCCCCCTCTCCCTGTCTGTTTGCAGGTTATCTTGACAAATCAGATTACCACATCATTGAGCAACGGCCTTGCGATCCAGGCAGACCTGGTGTCTCCAGCTGATGATTTGTCCCTGTCTGAAGGTAAGAGATCCCTTCTATCAGAACTGAAACTCTACACTGACACAAATCCACATTGTAACTTGCAGTCTTCTGTTGATATACAGGGGTCTGTGAGAGTCAAGTTATCAAGTCTAACATAAAACAGCCTGGGAACAAAATTATTTTTCATTTTCTCTGAAAAGCCAGTTATAAATAAAAAGAAAGTGAGTGTATTAACTAAAAGGATCCGAGACTTTCTAAGGGCTGGGAATGAATTTTCAAGCCATGTCAGTTCTGTAACAAGTTCCTCAGCACTGTACTTTCATTCACATGCATTTAGAGCATTATTTTCTCAGTCTTCTGAAGCTGCTGCTACAGTTAATACACAAGTTAGGCTACAAATTTGATCTTACCTAATGTTTATCAGTGATTCTGAAGAGAAACAGCCAGTCACAAATGAAGGAGAGCAAGTAGTCCTGTCTCTTGCATTATGCTCATCTGGTTTTGAAGTACAGTGCCTCAAACTGCAGGTCTCAACATTGTGTGAATAGAATATGAGGTTTTGTGTTATGGCATGTACCAGTTTACATCTTCATGTTTCTTTTTTCTGCACAAAATTATAGGCAAGCACACATTTTTGTGGTAATAGTGAGGATTTGTTGTGCTAAGAAGAAAAGATAATTCTGAATCAAGGTTTGCAAAGTAATATAATAATTTCAGCTTTCTCGACTTGCAAAGAAAAGTCAGAGTACCCTCAGTCAGGGACAGATGCAGAGAAGTTTGCTATTTTGAGTTCAGTTCGTGCATGGACCCAAATGTATGGTGTAAAGCAATGCTCATCTTTCCTGCAAAGGCATGATAATTATATGTGGACTTCCTACTCTGTATTATAAGGTATTTCCCTTCTTTGTCTCTTTTTTGCGCTTTCCGGTAGTTCTGGTCAGCTTATTGTGGTTCTGATGGAGCACAAGCAGACCTCTCGAACTTGCCTGACTTAACACAAGAACAGCTTGGTGGCAAAACCAACTAAGCAGTGGCTAAAACTGACAATATTTCTTCAACTCATTTCAATGGACAAGAGAAAGAGGTTGAAGATAGATTAAACACAATGTCAAAGAGTAGCAAAGAACTTCAGTGTAATGCCTTAACACTGACTGATGTATTTACTTCATAATTTTGTCAATAGGAGCTTGGGCATAGCACAGCCCATAAATCATTTTGGAATTGTGCTTGTGGCTTTTGTTGGCTCCATCCATTGCCAAAGTATCTCTTAAGTTCATTGCTTGACTATCGCTCCCTGTCTCTGTCAGAAAGTTGAAATTTGGTAACTAGATTTGGAAGAGGAAGGCATCATTTTTCATCTTTATGATTTCCTTCTTGGCATGAAGTTGTTGCACTTTGTCTCATTAAATGCTCTTGATTGCAATACTTGTGCTTTTGTTTGTCCTTTGGAATTGCTCTGTATGAGCTGCCTCTGAAAAGAAAAGCAGAGCTGACTCTGAAGTGGAAGTAATAACAAAATCTGTTCTCAGTAAAACGTATTTTGTTCTTGTGGTTAACATATTTGAAGAGTCTTTGGAAAAAGTGTGGAATAGTTGTGATCTTTCTAAATTTTCCTGCAAATCTGAAAGATTCTCCGTTCTGTGTATGAGCCATAGTTCAATAGTATTCTGAAATCAGTACCATGTAAGAGATGGTATGACGATTTTTGTAGCAGTTACAGCTTATTAATGAAGCTATCGTGTTGCATCTAAACTGCCTACCACCATTATTTTTCACCCTTTAACCCAAGAATGAGTTTAAATGTGGTGTTGCTCCTGTGTGCATTGTTTTCCTTTGTTTCTCTTATTCCTTGTTTTTAGTTGAGGGTCCAAAGCGGTAAAATGTGCCAGCATGACACTTGTTGAAAATGGAAACCTTTGTTTAGCCTTGGAACAAGAGCAGCGCAGACAGCAGCACTGCATTATCCTCCTCCGGTAATTAGTTAAAAATTAGGTAAAAAGTTTTATCAAGGGGTGCAGGGGTTATAAACTTCTTTCCTTCTCTCCTTCCCTCTTCTGTCGACTAACATTGACATGGCATTTGCATGCTGGGTTGTATAATGGGAGAGCACAGTGCGTCTCCACACTATGTGGGTCTCTCCTGTCTTTCTTTTCCATAGTATGGCTGCTTCTGGATTTCCAGTTTGCTTTAGTTTTAACCCGCTCTGTCTACCTGTGAGAAAAAGTGGAATCTCGCGCCCACTCAGCATTTTATATCCGTGTTTATCTGGCTATCAAAAGATACTGGTATAGCCAGTGTTTTTCTTTTTTAACATCGAGGTGTTGATGTGTCCTGAGAAAGTCCCCCCTCGTTTATTTCATGTTAGCTATTGAACAGCCTGAAAGTAGCAGTACTTTAATCTTCTGACAATCTTGGGTACTCTAAGAATCCTTAATGAATTACTCTTCTAGGATTAGTCTGATACTTACCATGCTTACTGCTGTCTTACAACTGTAGAATGTGCAGGAAAGAGTAGTTAGGTGAGTGGCCCGACTGCACCAAGTAGGTATGTGGCAGAGGCAGGAATAGAGGCCAGATTCATGACTGGGTTCTTACCTCATTCTTCCTTTTCACTCATCACCATCTGAAGCTGAATTTGAACCAGTGACCTAGATGTGAAAGGACCCATAGCACATTATTAGTCCTGTAAGCAACTCAGACCCCTTGGTTTGTATATGTCTAATATGTTGTTTTAATCCTATCTGAAATCAGAGTCCCGTCACTGTAAATGGTTTGCTAAAAGGGTAATCTTTCTTAGAGGCAGAAATGAAAATTTCAAACTGAATGTGTTATTAGAAAGAAATGGAATGTTACAGTGGCTTTTGTTTTTGCTTCTGATTGTGCTTTAGAAGGGAATTGCTTGAGCTATGTGTTAGATAAGGCAAGAAACCAAGGAAGCTGTTCATCTGATGTGTGACGGAAAGTTAATCTGATGAACAAGCTGAAAGGATATTGTCAAGCTGTTTCAGGGTCAAAGCTTGTCTTCTGTAAAATTGTAATCTAGTGCATGAAAACTTGTGTCCTAAAAATGTTAGACTTTTATGAGAACATTAAAGGCTTTATAAAAGCAGCGCTGACTGTAAAATCCCACCACTTATACAGCAATGTAAGAACTGTTGAACTGTGTTTGTTAGTGGTACTTGTAGGAAGTGGTTGTGTCCATCTAAATTCCCAGATCTATGCAGGGTTCTGCTTCAAGGCAGAAAACAAAATGCTTAGTTTGTTACAAATTAAAGTGCTGAATAAAATACAGGAGTTTCTGTACCTGTGGGCTGAGTCCTTGCATTTATTTGGCCTTTACATACTTGCCGGATTACCATCGGAAGGAGTTCAGTAAGACTAATAATGTTTGTCTGCAGCTCTAAAATTTTTAGGCACATGAGGCTGTCACTTCTTCCCTCGGAAGCAAACCCAGTTTTTATTTGTAGCCATACCATTCTTGTGTTGTTTTCTTGCAAACCCTGTCATTGTTGGGGATAGACTGGAGCATGTTGTGAATACTGCTATGAATACATGGTCTTCCTTTCTGTATGAAATAGCCTTTGTTTAGCTCTTCCAGATAAAGACAACTTTGAGAAGCGTTGAAGTTTTTTTTTGATTGCAGAGATGGTCAGATGAGCCCAGGACTATCAGTAGGCTTCAAAACGTGGCCGGAAGAATTAACGCTTTATTATTTAAACATGTAAAAAGTAGCCCTTAACCCAATTACAATATTTTTTTTAATAATTAAACAAACAAACAAAAAAAGCTGCTTTAGGCTGAGTGAACAGTAGAAATGGAGCGCAAACAGAATATTTTGTAGGACTGCTAATTGATGTTTTTAAACAAGTTATCTGTGACTGTAACTACTATTTTTCTTATTTTTGCAAAGTTCACATGACTGGATTTTACCTAATGTAGAGGGTCGTTAGAAATTAATTCTAAGCCTGTGTTTTTGAGCACTAGCTGAACAGTGAAGTTTGTGTGTTTCATTTGTGTGCTGCGAAGAGATAGGACAGGATGACCTACTTGAGGTCCCTTCTAGTCCTGTTAATATATCTGCCAGCTGCAAGCTCTGACTTCCTCTTGCAGACATCAAAGCCAAACTCCATCTTGCTTGGAAAAAGCTCAGGGGCGTGTTGGTATGAACAAGAACAGCATCCCCCTCCCAGTGTGCACAAAGTGTCAGGCAAAAAAAAAAAGAATGCTGTCTCAGGCTTCTTCAGTCTCAGCTAGCACTTTCAAATATTTGTTTGGAAAAGTCAGAATTATTTTGTGTTTAAAATTGTCTGTAAACTTGTGCTAGCTCTGGGGAGGCCAGCGCTCCATCTTCTGCCATTTGTGTTCATCAGGCAGTTTGTCATAGCATTGTATATTTTTAGTGTACGGTGTGAGCAATGAGTTTAGTCTGACCTTTTCATCTTTGTTGCTGTGATCTTGAATTCTTTTAAGCTGTTGAGCAGAAGTAGGCTTTTGTGTTGTGGAGACTGGAGAAAACTAAGTTACCTTGATGTCTTCCACCCGCAGCATTTTCCTGCTTTAGTTTAGGGGCAGAAGATTTGAAGCTGGAGTCTTTGGCTTCTCTCCTTTGCCCTTGATCTCCTGTTGGATTGAGGTTAAATCATTTTATTCTTCAAGCCTCAGTTTACCATTTTTTAAATATGGGGATATATGTTTATTTTGCAACTTTTTTTTCTTTCTTAATATTTCAAAATATTCCTACAGGGAAAATAATGAGTTGACCTGCCGCTTGCCCCAGAGTAAGACCAGTTCTGTAGTTTATTGCTTCTCTCCCTTCAAATCCCTTTTTTCAGTCCTGATGCTGAATGGGGAGAAAAAAACGTAAGGAATTGCCAAGAGAACTGAGGGGGCCCCAGAGATCAGAGGCTGTTCATTGGTTTTGGTTTGTTTGTTTATTGATTTATGTATACGCTTATGCTTAAGGTTGGACCTGCAGGTGACTTAATAAAAATAAAAAAGAATATTCCATGAGAACACAAACATACCTGTTTTGCGGGAAC